CAGGGATCCACCTGTCTCCAGCCTCTCTCCACGCCTCGCTACCTCCTTGCCATGCTCTCTCGGCCACTCCCCTCGCCTGCGCCTGCGTCGCGTCCGCCCCTCAACGAACTCCCTTACGACCGCATTGCATCCACCCCTCCTCCGCCACATTCAGTGTTCACACCGCCCCTCCGACCCTGCGATCCCTTTCACTCCCCCTCCCCCACCATCACCCCTTTCGCGCCTCCTCCTTTCATCTCCCATCACCACCCCCCCTCTCCCCCTCCGCCACCCCTCCCTGTCCGCAACCTACTTCCCTCTCGCGCTTCATGCGTCGTTCCGTCTCATCCGGTCGTCGCCGTCTGCACCTGTACGCGTCCCTTACCGGCCCATCGCCCACTCCCTCCCCGCCCTCCTCCGCCTCTCCCGATCATCTGCCTCTCCCCACACGCTCCCGCGCACGCGCGTTGCTAACCGCATGTGGCCACGTCTCCCCGACATCTTGCCATACTTCGTGAGGACCTGTCATTCCGTCTCGCTCGCACGTTCTCGGCCCGTCTCTCGCCCGCCTCTGCCGCCTTCGCTCGCAATCTCTCTCCATCCCTTTGCCACTTCTCACCCGCACTCTCACCCCGCTTTCTCACCCGCTTTCTCACCCGCTTCTCCCACCCGCTTTCTCGCCGCGTTTCTCGCCCGCTCTCTCGCCCGCTCTCTCGCCCTCCCATCGCTCCGCCCACTCGCCCGCTCACGGTCGCCCGCCCATCGCCCGCTCATGTCGCTCGCTACTCGCCGCCCACTCCGCCCCCACTCGCGCGCCCCATGTCCCCGCCTGTCGCCCGCCTGTCGCCCGCCTGTCGCCGCCTGGTCGGCGCCGCCCTGTCGCCCGCCTGTCGCCCGCCCTTGTCGCCCGCCCTGTCCGCCCCTGTCGCCCGCCCTGTCGCCCGCCCTGTCGCCCGCCCTGTCGCCCGCCATGTTCGCGCTGTCGCCCGCCCTGTCGCCGCCCTGTGCCCGCCTGTCCGCCCGCCCTGTGCCCGGCCCTGTCCGCCTTGCGCGCCTGTGCCCGCCCTTCGCCGCGCATGTCGCCCGCCTGTCCGCCACTGCCTCGCCCGCCCTGTCGCTCGCCCTCTCGCCCCAGGGGAGGGGAGGGGGGGGGGGGGGCCCCTCTCGCCGCCCTCTCGCGTCCGCCCTCTCGCCCGCCTCTCGCACCGGCCCCTCGCCGGCTCCGCCGCCGCTCTCGCCCGCCCTCTCGGTCGCTCCGCCCTTCGCCTCGCCCTCCGCTCGCCCTCTCGCTCGCCTCTCGCTCGCCCTTCGCTCGCCGCTCGTCGCTCGCTACTCTCGCGTCGCCCTCTCGCTCCGCCCTCTCGCTGCGCCTCTCGCTCTCGCTTCGCCTCTCGCTCGCCTTCTCGCTCGCCTCGTCGCCTCGCCTCTCGCTCGCGATCCCCTCATCAGCTCGCTCCTCTCGCTCGCCCTCCTCGCTCGCCCTTCGCTCGCCCTCGGTCGCTCGCCTCTCGCTCGCCCTCGTCGCTTCGCACCCTCTCGCTCGCACTTCCTCGTCTTGCTCGCCTTCTCGCTCGCTTCGCCGCCTCTCGCTCAGCTAGCGGGCCGCCTCTTGCATGCCTGTCGAAGGCCTTCGTACGACCTGTCTATCCGCTTTCTCGCCTGGCGATTCCTCGCCCTCAATCGTCCAAGTGTGCACGGAACTCGGCAAGCCGAGGGTGTCTACGCTTCGCTTTCTCGGGGCTATTCGAGGCTCCATCACCGGCGGGACTTTTGAGGCGCAGGAGCTGCTTTCTCCTCTGCGCTGCGAGTGAGGACGGGGCGGGAGCGAATAGTTTTATACGACTGTTGAGGCGATGGGCATTGAGAAGAAGGTTCGGTAACTGGGGATCGGTGATGGGAGAAAACAGGCTCATTGCGATTTACTGTTGTGTAAGAAGAACAGCTAGAGAGAGACTTGGAGGCAGAGAGAGAGAGAGAGAGAGAGAGAGGAAGACGACGACGACGACGAACGAGCTTTGAAGATGCAAAGAGTGACGGAGACACACAGAGAGAGACGAACGCGCGGTAAGTATAAAGAGACAGAAAGCAAGAGTCAACACGACAGAGGAGATAAAGAGAGACAGTCATATAGAAATAGAGATGGAGACAGTGAACAGAGAAAGACTAGGCAGAGCGAGTTCAGAGGCAGGGGGACAGACAGAGAAAGAAAGTCGAGAGAGAAAGAGAGAGAAAGAGAGGAAGAGAGAGAGAAACAGAGAGAGAGAAACAGAGAGAGAAGAAACAGAGAGAGAGAATGAAGAGCAGAGAGAATGAGAAGAGAGAATGATGCAGAGAGAGAGCATGAGAGAGAGAAATGAGAGAGAGAGAATGATGAGAGAGAGAATGAGAGAAATGCAGATATTGGAGAGAAGCAAAAGAGAGAAAGGAGAAAGAGAGAAAGCGAAATGAGAGAAAGAGAAAGAGAGAAAGAGAACAAGAAGAAAGAAAGAGAGAAAGAGAAAGAGAGCAAGAGAATAGAGAAGAGAAAGAGAGAAAGAGAGCAAGAGAGAAAAGAAGAGAGAAAGAGAAAGAGAGAAAGAGAAAGGACGAGAAAAGAGAAAGAGAGAAAGAGAGAGAGAGAAGATGAGAGAATAGAGAGAGAGAGAGAGAGAGAAAGAGGAGAGAGAAAGAGAGAGAGAAAGAGAAAGAAAGAGAGAGAGAGAAGAGAGAGAGAGAGAAAGAGAGAGAAGAGAGAAGAGAGAGAAAGAGGAGAGAGAGAGAAAGGATGAGAGAGAAGAGGGAGAAAGGAGAGAGAGAGAGAAAGAGAGAGAAAGGAGAAGAGAGAGAGAGAGAGAGGAGAAAGAGAGAGAGAAAGAGAGAGAGAAAGAGAGAGAGAGAAAGAGAGAGTAGAGAGAAAGAGAGAGAGGAGAAAGAGAGAGAGAGAAAGAGAGAGAGAGAAAGAGAGAGAGAAAAGAGAGAGAGACGAAAAGAGAGAGAGAGAAAGAGCGAGAGAGAGAATAGAGAGAGAATAGAAGAAAGAAGAGAGAGAAGAGAAGAGTAGAGAGAGAGAAGTAGAGAGAGGAGAAAGAGAGAGGAGACAAAGAGAGAGGAGAGGGAGGAAAGAGAGAGAGGGAGAAAGAGGGAAGGAGAGAGAAAAAAAAGAGGAAGAGAGAAAAGAAGCAAAAGAAGAGAGAGAAAAGAGAAGAGAGAGAAAGAGAGAGAGAGAAAGAGAGAGAGAGAAAGAGAGAGAGAGAAAGAGAGAGAGAGAGAAACATACGGAGACGTTTTCTTTTTTACAAGGATTGTAAATGAAAAAAGCGGGCAACGCCATGCATTTTTCTAGTTTGATGTAAAAGTATGTACGAAGCAGTAAACTACATCTCGGCATATTCATAACGCGAGGTGTGATCGACATAACGGCTTATGCGAAGTTCAAGGGCAGACGTGAGGAAGGCTGTGGGATCTGCGGTAAATTAAATACTTCAGATTACTTCTCTCACTGTTTTTGTCTTCAAGTAAGAACATTTCTCTGCAAAATTCTGTTAGAACTTCAGACTGATATATTAGTATAATAAAATGTTCAACGAGATATAACTTTGCTTAACAAATTGAAATTAAAAGAAGTCAGAATCAATATTTTTTTAAAAGCTAAAGAGAAGTTACAGAAATGTCCTTAAGTGTGCTAAATGTGTGGGGGGAATTACCTCAAATCCTTAAACAATGAGCCTTATGGCGAAAATAGTAGTGTTACAAAAGCACGTACTTTCTCACAATATTTCTAACTCGAAATTTTCTAACATTCAGAAAGTTAATTGGAGATAAGTTATGTTGAGCGTCCTTTATCATGTTCGAGGAAATCAAAAAATGTGGAACCATTTTTGAGAAAATTGTCAAAATATTGTTCGTGCTTTTCGCAAAACTCCCAAAATCAAAATACCCCTTTCAAACTCGCAGGGCCTTGATTTTGTTCAGATCGGTCGGCAATATCGATTTAGCGGGGACAAAATCGTCGAACGGTTTAGGCGCTAGCGTTGACCACAAGCTCACGTTTTGACGTCAATCGATTTTCGGTATCAAGGACTTTCAAAACGTGGATTCTGGTTAAACAACGCGTTAGAGAAAGTAATTTACATAAGACGAGTTTTTCTGTGGAAAATTCGAACATTCCCTCCGTATCATTACGAGGGTACGTAGTAAGGCGGGACAGTTCAATTGACATTTGGTAATTACGGTATTCCAGAATAAGCGTACATGAAACCCGCATTACAGGATACGCTGCGATCACTGTGCACAACTAAAAAGGTGCGTCTTAGTTCCGTGGTACGATTTTTTTCTTTATTTTTCCGAATATTCACAGTGAGACCTTTTTAGCGTATTACTACATTTTTGAGTTCCCCACTTCTTAACACAGGTTGTGAAAAATGTTTAAAGTAGAGATCAATCTTAAAAATATTATCACTTTTGAAATAATGATTAATAAAGTCCGCCATATTCGCAAGTAGTTGTATGATATTACTTCAATAAAAAATTCATAGTGAATGTATTATTTGGAGATGAAAAGCTTGTTTTACAGCCCAGAAAAAAATGTATTTGACGATTTGCTTTCAGAGTCACTGGAATACCCCACAGAATTGACCTCTCTGCGTGAAGATGAAGACTATCCTGCGCTGGAGTCTACACCATCAGGAGGATCAGAAAACTACTGTATGTTATTTCATATTAATTTAAATTTATTTGTGCGGTATTTTATATTTCAAGAGCGCTTTAAACGAGCATTGATGGGCAATGTATTTATTAGCCATTCTTTGTATGTAATGCATATATAATAATATAATGCATAAATAATTCAATCTGTATTACGCCTTATATTTTTCATAAATAAAGCTTAATTTCAATTTGATTTTTCATGGATAATGTAACGCAAATATTCGAAACAAAGAATGTTCAAGTGATAGTATTTTAATCTACACGCTTTCCAAATATAAGGCAGAATTTTGCTCTATTCTTGCAAATTCTTTCGCATATGCGAAGAGACGCACCCAGGATTTTTCTTGGAGGAGGAGGGGCTATGTTGGGGTGGGTATTTAGTGTTCAGCCGATTTGATGTTTCTTATAAAGAATTTTTAATTTATGCTGAAGATAAATGCGTTTTTATTTATTGACGTATAGTTAAATGCTTATTAGTGTAAAGAAATGATTTTATAGTTACTGTAGCACTGAACAACTAATAATTGAAACACAAGTCGGAATGAAACAGTTATTGCTCTGGTAACTACGGTGTATATGTTTGTGTAGCTGTAATTTCACTTAGAAGAAATTACAAAATCGATAATATTATTTTCTCATAAGGAACTGAATCTGCTTTATCTTGCGATGTGATGATGCGATCGCTAGATCGTTAGAAGATAAATGTGATTTTATTTATTGACTTATAGTTAATACTTATAACGTAAATAATTGATACATTGAAGGGAATTCGTAAGTACAGAAAGTTAGTAAAAACCTCTATCTTGTAATGTGTATAATTGACTTTTGTGGGGAGGTTGGGAGGACTGAAGTCCTTTGAGCCCCCACTTGGGAGCGGCACAGCGTATGGGCGCAGGAGAATGTACATTTCTTGTGAAAATATTTTTGAAATATGTTACGCTCTCTACGTAGACGCATTTGTAAAAAACATACATTTTCTGATTGACATTGAAACTGATATTTTGTTCGTTTTCCCATTTTTTACTGTATAAATATAAAATTAAATTTGCAATATCGTGAATAATCAATAGCTTAAAGATTTATGAACATAAATACATTATGTAATTTGTTTGTTTCATATATTTTTGAAAGAAATATCTAAATAATGAACAACTCCATTAGTCGATCTCTTTAATGGAGATGTATAAATTTGTTATAAGAATTAAAAACATTTAAAAAAATAACATTTCATTAACATTTAGAATAACCAAGATTATACGTCTAGAGGTACGTGAACTGCCTGCTAACTTTACGAACCTGAGTTCGAATCAAAGCCCGGGTGAATTTGCTGCTTGGAAACACTTTCAATAACAATATAATATATTATATTATTGAGCAGCCGTTAGAAATAAGGTAGTAATGGGTGATAGTATGTGTTGTTGTAGCTCAACTTTCTTAATTAGTTCTAGTATGTTGGAAAGACAAATACCCTTTATTGAAGTATTCAAAATCTTATTTGCTTGTATATCTTATATTTGCTTTTATAAGAAGTAAAACGGAATCGGAGTAGAATAGGGGAAAATTTAATGAGAGAATATTGCGGATGGATATTATTTTAAACGTGTAGCCAAAAGCTTCCCCGAGCGGAATGTGGGGAGACCTTCACTCTCTTAGCGAATGTTGCCCAACTGTCGCTGTCTGAGGCCTTCTTCGATTCAAATATTGCGATAATAGGCGCAGACATTCGCAAGACAGGACTGCATAACTTGCACATTTTTTTGGTTGAGAACCAAACTCTTTTTGAAACTGGTAGTTACATTATATTCAATGTTACGAGAATACTTTATTAAATAATTTTTATGCGTACCCACCTGAGAACACTCGCATGTGGAAATTCGACTCCCATCTCCCCTATTGAATTGAATTGAATTGAATTGAATTGAATTGAATTGAATTGAATTGAATTGAATTGAATTGAATCGAATTGAATCGAATTGAATCGAATTGAATCGAATTGAATCGAATGGAATCGAATGGAATCGAATTGAATCGAATTGAATCGAATGGAATCGAATGGAATCGAATGGAATCGAATGGAATCGAATGAAATCGAATGAAATCGAATGGAATCGAATGGAATCGAATGGAATCGAATGGAATCGAATCGAATCGAATGGAATCGAATCGAATCGAATGGAATCGAATCGAATCGAATTGAATTGAATATGCTTTATTTTACGTGGCGAGACTCATTCACCTATCTCTATAAAAGGAAATAATTTCGGCCCGTGATCAAAAGGGCCTGTCGCCTTTTCGCACTTTTTAGTTTTTCACACAGAATTGTGTGAAAGAGAAACAAAAGTTTCAGTTTGGCATTAAAGGTTTATGTCTGGGAGTAAGGAGGATATTACGACACCGTTGTCGTAAAAATTAGTTCGCGTACCCTTCAATGCAAATTTATGCAGATCAATACCAAGAGCCGTGTAATGCGGGATTGCATTCGTACTGCCTGATTGTGGCGCGTTTTTCAACAAATATGAATTATTTATGAAGTGAAAGTGCAATTCACATATCCATATTATTCCATTTCTTTTGGTCCCTCATTTGTTATGATAGTCAGGGTGTGAAAGCTGCAAAATGTATATATACTATAGTATTAATATTTTTTGTTCATGTTTGCTGGTCTGCATGTTTGCTGAAGAAATTCGAAGGTTGGATGAAAATTATAATTAACAATTACTGGTTGATATAATTCATTCTTTATTTTATTTATCTTTTTTATTTCATATTTTGAATAATTAATAACTGGAGTGTCTATATCTGGAATAATCCTCCGTGACTTTTTTGTCTCGTCACAGTGCCTTTTATCCCGTCGGGCAGGGGTCGGCGCCGTTGGTAACCGGGTCCTCCAGGAATCAGTGGTGTCTCAAATTGCAGAACTTTCGTGACTTCACGGAGAGTAGTTAAGCAATTCGGCTAACGACGCCTTTATATACCTATATATACCCGCCTATATTTGAAATCTTCTAGAAGGTTGATCCCCAGGGCCGGGTTTGACCCCGGGGCATAAACACGTATACCAGGTGTCCAATGTGAAAACGACAAACTTTAAAACTTTTGCGTCGATTTGAGTAAAACATCTTCTATAAACATGTGTAGTCAATTCTTCCTCTATTAGTGATATTCGCATTGTTAATTCTGTCAGGTGTGGAAGTAAAGCGGATTATTATCGCCATAGCTCGAGGTTGAGAAACGAATAGCCCGCCTGATGCGAATGCGGCACATTAATCTGCGCGCCACTGGGTTGTATTATGAAACACTCTAAAACAGTCGTCTGTGCGTTTACTTTGGAAATAAAATCGGCTGTTACTTATCAGTGTACATTTGTCTACTGTGATGTGCATTGCTATTGAAAATACTACGAATTTACAAAACCGATGAAATTGCAGACATAATTAATGTTTACTGTTTTTGTGATAGCAGTGGGGAAAAAGCGGAAAGATTCTTTCGTAATCGTATTGTACCTCATAAAAACTTATTTATTAACATCTTCAGAAGGTTGCAAAAAACATTCATTATCTCTAACCTCCGAATGCGATCTTTCTACAGCTTCGGAAGAAGCAAGTTGTGGTGATAGAAGTGGAAGAAAATCCATCAACAATTCTATTTATCGGCTGCGTGTTGCGATTAATACAGTATGGAAATTCCTTCATAATGAATGTTTGTATCCTTCCAAATTTTGCAATGTGTATCACTTATCACCCCTTTACAGAGAATCTTGTTTGTAGCTAGCTTCTTCAAAGACCTAATATTAGCAGGAAGATATTCACAGACGAGGCACAGTTTACGAGAAGTAGACTAATTAACTCTAGAAACAGTGTATTTATGGGCTCCTTCTAACACATATGCAACACATAAAAGGCATTTAAGGAAAAAGTAGAATTTTCCTTAAATGTGTCACGAGGAATTGTTTGAAATCAAATTATACGACCTTACTTCTTTGATGGAACGTTAACTGTTCTGTCTCCCTCTTCCATGTCCTGTCTTCACCCCTCAATTACACACACTCACGCTTACACTTACATGGACTACACTACACGTCCACACATATCTGGAGACCCGTTTTAGAGCTTGTCCTGTCTGAGACGGTGCCTCGCAGGTGCTGGTTGGAGAAAAATCCCGCAAGCCGACACGTAAGTCGGTGCCGGATCTCGCCATCCAGCGGGGGAGATCAAACCGATAAAAGATGCACTGCAATTACGGGACTAATGACCCTAGCAGTTCACGCACCAAAAATCATCAATCAATCATTCTATCTACGACGTTTCAGTGCACTCCCAACTACATAGGATACGGCACCCGGAGCTGGGGAGATATCCAAATTCCTCCAACCTCCAGCTGCGTCAGTGCAGAGCGCTGACGCAGCAGCGCTGTGTAGTTGTAAAACCGAAGGAAACCTGCAGAGACCTCCCAGATCAACCTACGTCACACAGAGTAGCGGCGGTCTCGCAAGAGCGCGCGTATCTATAGAACTGGAAACACATCTTTCTCATCGCTCTCACTGCCGCTATTCTCTCTGAATGAAGCAATCACGATCAAGGCGATGAGTTGCGCTCCCGACAGCAGGAGCTCGCGCATGCGCAGTTCGCGGAATGCAGCTTCCCTGCAACGGTCTTGACAGTTACTCAGCGACATATATAACTCCGTGCTCGCGGATAGAGGATGGAAGATGACGTAAACGCTACTATAAAGTTATTAAGCTGAAAACATCGATTACTCACCGCAGTCAACATCGCTCTTCTTTTCGAATGAAGTAATCAAGCCGTTGAGTTGCATGCTACCCGCGCGCTTTTTCTTCAGGCATACTACGTAAAGGATTTCTCCGACCCGTGTCACACCTCGTGCAAGCCTACAACGAGCGAGTGATAACTAAACGTAAAAGCTCTTGCGTGCTGAGGACTTTCATATCCTAGGATAATGAATTTATTTCGAGTCGAGTATTCATTAATTATCTAAAGCGTCAAACCACAAGTGTCTGCAACTTTCACAATGTTCAATATGCAGATCACAAGGGAATTTGTGAAGTAACTTGTACAAGTTAGGCTGTATCAATAAGTGATTTATTCCCCGACTTCCCTACAGTTGATGAGTTTGGGAATTGGGACACTTATCCAATAGGGACCTTCAATTTCGAAATTGTCGCTCCAGATTGGTTAACAGTGTCCATTTCCTTTTTCAGCAAGCGAAGAGAAGCTTTTGACGGGGATGAAACAGGGCGCCACTTGGCGTGCCCTGGCCTGGCACTTACCCGGTGTCACCAGCTTGGCCCGCTGCTAGTTGGGCTAGCGCTAGTGGAGGGGGTGCTTGGGCGCGATGGACTCTAGTGTAGTGAAAAATTTGTTGCACAGGCCTATGCAGAGGGCCTGGCCCTGACAGTGGCAGTCTGGCCCTGACTTAACTTAAAATATCAGACAAATCGTAGTGTTTGCTTCGGTTATGAATTGGCTGTAGCGAGTCGAATTGCGAGCCTGGGCTTAGCCAGAAGGGTTGCAAACAAACGTAGGCCGGAGTCAGAAATACATAATGAATAGCATCATAAAAATAATAGTTAAAGGAAATACAAGAAAAAACAATAGCACTTGTTTATTTCGAATCTGAACTCGGCATGCACCCAAAATGGAGTTTGCCGAGAAAATCCAAGGTCCCTTTAGGTGCCTCAATTGCGCCTCCAAAATCTGCCAAGTTCGAATCCTAATCAAGGAGGCAACGGGCACATAACAAGAGCCCTGAACTAAGGAGTGGAGCCTAGTGGTCGCAATTGTGACGATATATGAAGATGTGGGGCTACCCGGTCCTACTCATACTAATGTGGGTGGGATAGGAAGGGATAATTATTTTGGGGATGTTCCGGCCTTCAACTGGGATTGATCAGAGAAGCCCCCAAAGCACCGAGCACAGTAGCCTGTCTCTAGAATTCTCCTCCAGGCAGTAGGCGGCTTCGACCAAGTTACGTTGCTGGTGTCGAAATACAAACCTTACACGGCTTTACACAGCTTTCGTTGCGGACTAGCATCTACGAGTAGACGATCTTCCAGTCTTCGAAATTAAATCAAAATATATACATTACCAATTTCTAATTCTCGCTGAAATTGAGAGGAAACTATGCAGCATCCGGTCATGAGAAAGGTATCTACGGTTTCTTTAGATTCTTAGAAACTCAGAAAAAAAATACAAAAACAATGAAACTGTTTCTATTTTGCCTGAAGAATTCGCGTATTTAATTGTTTCGTTACTTCTATTCAACTACTGCGCGTACCAGCTACATTTTTATGTTCATTGCATCACTTCTTACAACACTGCTGACGTCATGGAACAACAAGGTTCCAAGACACTCCCCGGACATTAAATATTTTCTATTGATGTGTTGCGTTAAGGAAAGCAATTTTTATTATGTTCTTGGTATGTAAGGAGTTTTGCTGTATGTCCACTATAATATGTAACTTCAGTATTTTTGAAATCTGTTTTCGTTAAAATATTTATTTTCTTGTGTTTTACAGAGTATATAGTTGTTGTTCGTAGGCAGTGTGCGTGCTCATTTTCGGAAAACTATGTTGTGTGATTTTGTTCAGATGTCATTTTTGCTGCTGCAGACCACTATTTATTTATTATTTACGTCGTATCTTGAAACTAAACATAATATTTGTAAGATATTTTGTAATATTTGGAGCATATTGTGTTTTGGTGTTATTTTAACTGTAGTTTGAAATATTTCATAAACAAAGAATATTATCTTTCTTTTACATTTTGATTTTCAAATTTTGTCTGTCTTACGTAAGAAAATACAAGATAGTAGAACGAGATATGGGGATTTTCTGAAGATATATTCGGAAGAGGGTGGCAATTCTAATATGTGTTCTGCAAACCAAACCTCACACCACCCTTTGTACACGTTGTGTACGTACCACTTATAAAACCTGTGAGGGCTTGTCTCACGTGGCATAGGGAAAGCGTCACCTACCAACTTCGAGTTTTCTCTGCGACCGACCCGTCAAAGATTCGAGTTAGGAGTTGGCAGGCGGGCGCCACAGCGATTCCCGCCACGCAATGGTCGACTAATGACACGCGATTGGCGTCCGATGCGCGTGGAGCAATCGTACTCGGCGAATGTCAACTGCCACCGATACAGAACGCGTGGTGACATCTAGTTGACATATGGGGGGGGGAGTTCCCCGACTGCTGCCGGTGATTGTGGTAGGCGATTCAGCTGCTAATCAATATCGTAGCACATGGGCCATTAAAGTTTTTTTTATTCCGACTGCGCGATAGGAATGAAAGGTAATGTGATTTGTTCGAACGGGTCCGTTCGATGCGTCTAGCGGCAGAAATACTTTACTGTTTAAAACGTCGGTGGAGTCAGAATTACTCCATATTGCCTGTGGAGTTTTGTATGCGTGGTCGTATCGTTTCTAATTACGGAATAAATATGTTTTGCGTGTTGCCTACATTTGAGGCACATTTTTTCGCGTATCCCCCAGCTATAACCGATTGTACTTTTCTAGAAAAACACGCGTTTCACTTCAATGATCACTATAATATAAGCCAATCGAATGTGCATTTACCACTAACACATCAAGATATTGTTTCACTGATTGGTGAAAAAAACATAATAAATAGCGCTTTAATTTTTTTCTTATTACGTATCGTGACGCACATTCTTACTTTAGAAATGTCCTTTAGATTACCGTTTCCTTACCACCAAAGTCATTTCTGTACGTGATTCAGCTCCAGCAGAAGTTGGCCATGCACACTCTGTACGTAGCCTCGCTCCGCCTTCGAGCTCTCGGTTTCTCGGGACCGTGTATAGCAGCGGCAGGGAGGCGTCGGCATCCGCGGCGGCGATAGCAGCGGCGCCAGTGGCTGCGGAGGTGGCGGTGGCGGAGGCGGCGGAGGCGAAGGCGGCGGCCACATTCCTGCGCGGCTATGACATAACGGACACGAGTTCGCTCCCACGGACGCGCGTTTAGCGGCGCGGCGCCGCGACACCCGCAACCGTTCGTCACGCCTCATCCACTGCCTCCACCGCCTCCGTCGCCTCCATCGCCCCCCGTCGCCCCCCGCCTCCCCCAGCCGGCCCCGTCCGCCCCCACCTACGTGTCGCCCCCCCCTCGCCTGCCCTCCCCCCCCGCCGTCGCCCCCCGTCGCCCCCCCGTCGCCCCCCCGTCGGCCCCCCGTGTCCGCCCGGGCCACCGGTCCGCCCTCCCCGTTCGCCCCCCCGTCGCCTCCGTCGCCCCCGTCGCGCCCTCCCCGTCGCCCCCCGTCGCCCCCCGGTCGGCCCCCCGTCGGCCCCCCGTC